CGATGAATAGCGAAAAGGAGATCGTTGTTGAGTTTTTATTTCGTTTTTATTCTTGAAAGAAACTTATTTAAGTATTCAAAGCTCATAACATTTTTCTTCTTCTTAAGATAACATTCGAAATATTTTTGGATACTTTTTCTTTCAGTTTTGATGTAAGTTGATGATGAAGGGTGCGTTCAACCTAACCTAGGTAACAACCACTCCCCTCCAAATAAGAGGGTATGGTCAAGTCACCCAGGAAGCCCTGAAATTTCTTTTTTTTTTCTCTTTGAAGACCCGGGATCGTTAACCTATGGTGACCTTCTTATGGGGGCAGAGGTTAAGGCCAGTAAAAAAGGAGTTTTTTTTTTCTGTTGGACGATGAAGTAGCCTAAAATACTATATACTTGACATACGAATGACTTGTGAAAAATAAATAAATAAAAAAGTCCAGACTTGTGGTTACAGTTTTTAGACGCGAAGATATAGTAGTGAGTTGTAGTCAGCAACCTATGGCCCGTTGACTTTATCTTTACGGAGTGCGGGAGTATAAATTAAAATTCTGATGCATAAAAAATGGTGAAGTAAATAATAAAAATATTTGTTTTAATTATCCTTATTTTATTGATGCTTTTTTGCTGACTTTGATGACTACGTAAAAAAAATTTTTAAGTAAATAATGACTGAACAAACACTACAATCAGTCAATGAATTCGTAATTTGAGAAAAAAAATATTTAAGTAAATAATGACTGAATTAACACTAAAATAAGTCCATAAATTCGTAATTTGTAAAAAAAAAATTTTTTACGTAAATAATGACTGAATTACACTAAAATCCCATAAATTCGTAATTTGTAAAGAAGAAAATGCTTAAGTAAATAATGACTGAATAAACACTAAAATCAGTCCATGAATTCGTAATTTAAAAAAAAAAATGAAATGATATGAAAGCAATATTTCATTGGTGATTTCTTATGTACTTTAGTAATAACATATTTATATAGCAAAAAGAAATATTAAAATAATTTAATTTCTTTTCAGCATTTTAATAATAGTATCGTTATCTAAAATAATTATGGCAATATTCGTTAAATATTTTTTTAAAAAAAATTAGTCTTCAGGGGCATAATTTGTAAAAGTTTATCGTTATAAAAAATAACATTATCAGAAATAAATTATTCTATTTCATAGTTTCGGATATTTTAATAATGGCATATTTAAGTTATACAAATGAAATGGAAAATAAATTGAATTAACTTAGAATTCATGTTAGAAAACAATCCACTTATAACATTTTGTAAATATTAAAAAAAAAAAGGAATTTATCTATTGGAAAAATATTTATATATTTTTTTAAAGAAAATTTTAAGCAATTTATTTAATTTAAATTTTAAAAATTTTATTTTTTCTTAATTTAAAAAAAATTTAAATTTTAAAATTTACAATTTTTTTAAAAATTTTATTAAATTTATCAATATTTTGATAGTCATTTTATTCGAATAATCAAAATACACTGTAAAATTTTTGTTTATTCTTAAGTAACAATATAATTTCTAATTACAGTAAGATAAATACATATAAGTAAAGTTACTTTTTCAATGCTATATAAAACAAGAATCATTTATTTAAGAGGTATCTATACAATATTTCGTAAAATAAAATTAGTTTTTTAATCACTTGATGATATGATTTAGACACAATATGAATTAGAACAAAATTGAAATGAATAGAAGTTAAATATTATAAAATTATTTTATACGATTGTTAGATTTATGTCAGTTTTATATGAGAACATAAATATCTTTATTATACAACTAAAAACAAACATGCATTTTATAACAACTTGAATAAAATAAAAAAAAGTAAATTTTTCTATGCAAATATGCAGTATACAATTTGCTATTCAAATTTGGTAACTGCATACACTAATTATCTCTTTCAAATTTTGAGAAAAATCAACAATCGTTCTAAAAGTTATCAAGCCAAATCTTAAAATATATCGTTTTAATCATTTATATCATTTTAAAAATATATCGTTTTAAAGTTATCATATTGTTGAACGATACAGCATCAGAAGTTAGTTAAAAACAAAAACGCATCGAAAAATGAAATAGAGATCTAAACAGATAAGTTTTTAAAATTTTAATGATTGTGTATGAAAAAGTTTATTTCGTACCAGACATTCTAATATATTTACGAACGAATTAACCAGTCTTATATTGCGTTTGTAGATTACAAGTATAGAATTTTAATTAACACCATGATTTAAAAAAAGGTAAATTTTCACCCCAATTATTTTAAATATATATTCACAAGTCCTACTCTTATGGATTAATCATTTAATAAAATAAATACCCACTTTAATCTATTTTTTTTTACTATTTGTTTCTTTAATAATCCCTTAAAATAAATGTTTACAGTTAAATTTTTAAAAAAAACTCATCTCGTAAATTTTTTATTCTCAGCAGCAAATGCTTCTCACGTTTCAAAGAAAATTGCTTATTTTTTTCTCCATCGCCTTCTAATTCTATAGCTTTTATTTTAAGAAAACATTTCTGTAATTCAACAGCGTTTCAGGGGTTAAGGTTATTATTTCGAAATAAGAAATTACATACGCTTTGTTATATGTTTTCATTTATATCATGAACTGACTTTTTCGTTCAGGCACGGGGTTTGGCTGGCGACCCTCTTCGTTTTAAGTGCCATATAATAGATAAGTAATCTTCGCATCGCCAAAGGGTAATAGAATGTTTCTAACGCTAAGAAAAATAATCAGTATTCCATTGTTTTTATGTCTTTTGAACAAGTTAACGTCTGTAAAAGAAAGTCATAAAATACTATTTTATCTCTTTATTCTATATCTCATACTAAACGAGAAATATTTTAATATAGTTTATTATTACATTTATATTTCAACACATCGAATTCAGTTTTATTTTTTATAGTCAATTTTAAAATGTTTTCGTGTTTTAACTACTAGTTTGTGCTAATTAGATTGTTTACTTTCTTAAAAGCGTAATTTTAGATTTTTTATATGTCAAAAATTAGTAATTTTTGCTCCTTAATTTGCTTGATATCAACTTTGATGAAATTACTTTTTACCAAAGTTATGGTGTTAATAAATAACTCCATCATAAAGATTATTTTTTTTGATAATCAACACAAATATTTCGGTGCAAATAAAAAACTCGAGGAAAGATAGGAATACTCGAGTTAAGTATTTTCTGTATTATACATATTATTCGACATATCGATTGTATGGGATATTTTTGATCTCGAAGATGTAAGGAATAGAATACCCATGAGAAGAGAAACTTATTAACGCGGGTATTAATTATACTTTCGATTATTAAAAAACGATGAATTAGTGAAATAATTTCTATTTGAAGATATAAAAACTAGAATACTTATGAGAGTATTAATTATACATTCCGCGATAAAATAGATACATTAAGAAAATATTTTCCATGAGAAGGCATTAAAAAATTTAATACACATGAGAAAAGTTACTAACAAGCATTTTAATTATAACTTCCACTATAAAACAGATAAATTAATAATATTTAGGCATTAAAAACATTCTACACGTTTTCTAGTTTTCCACTACAAAAATAAGTTTTTCCATAAATTAATTAAATATTTTTGATTTTAAAAATAATAAATAATACTATGAACGTGAAAAAAAAGTTAGTAACGCGTGTTTTAATTATATTTCTCACTACGAAACAAATATATTTCACTTTAAATTAATGAGGTACTTTTGACTCTGAGAATAATATGAACTACGGTGGATGCAAAGAAAATTAACAAGGCGTATGTGAATCATACTTTTACCCATATAAAAATTACTTTAACTAAAAATTATTGAAATACTTATGACTGTGAAAACATTTAGAAATACGCTCACTACGAGAAAAGTTAGTAACACTAATATTTTTTATACTTTTAACTGAAAAAAGATACTTTGCGTTATAATTAGTATACTTAATTTTGTACCTAAAGCGTTTTTAAATATTCTTAACATTACAGAATAAGATTTCTCTTATGTGTAACTTATTTTAGGGAAAAAAATAGTCCAAATTTTCCAATGTTTTGAAATTTACAGTTACCAGAATGAATAAATGACACGAAATTTTGCTGCAAGCTGTAAAAAGTTCCACATAAAATAACCGTGAAAAGTACTGGCGTCCTGAGTGTAGTATCCGTAAAGTATTTTCCTTTACAGTAATTCAGCGATTTTACAGCAAATATTACTGTAAAAATTACGCTATATCGGATTTTTTGTTCCGTAAGACTTTATGGTGAAATGCATTTATAGACTTTAAACAAATGGATTAATGGACTTCATGGTAAAAATGAACTTATTCTATGAGAAAATAAATTATTGCATGTTTTCCAGTGTTTTATAATTTACAGTATATGAGATTTTATCAGTATCATATTAGATATCAGGTATATCAGATTTTTTTTGTATCGTAAGACTTTATGGTAAAAAAGGACTTATAGATTTTAAACACGTACACGGACTTAAAACATGGATTTATGGTCTTTAAAAGTGAATTAATAGACTTTATGGTAAAGATGGATTTATTCTTTGCTAAAATAAATTAGTCCAGATTTTCCAGTGTATTACGATTTCCTGTTATATGATTGAACAACTAAAGCGAAAACATACTACTCACTGTAAATAAAACTCCTGACTAAATTACGAAAAAAGTACTGCCACCTTGAGTGCAGACTCCGTAGAATATCCGTATATTCATAAAATATATTCAATTACGGTGATTTTCCAGTAAATATTTTTGTATATAAAATCACGGTATATCAGATTTTTTTTTGTAAAACTTTATGGTAAAAATGGATTTTACGGAAAAAATTGCCCTGAAGTATGGATCGGAATTTTTAACAGTATATATCAACCAACTTGCCTTGTGTTCTTTGTGAAAGCAATGTAATTTTGTGTGATATTTTGTTATTGGCAAACAAATTTATTTGAATCTTTTTTTATTTTCATTGCAGACATCTTTTCGATTGCCCAGAATGGGCTATTTGCTGCCCAATAAAATGGGTCCTTTTCTGGCACTGGCAGTCACTTATATATTAGTCATCCAATCTACCAAAGCAGGTATGTTTTCTTTCATTCTTTTAATATTTTATCAATAATACTGTGGAACAAATTTTTTTCGCATTTATACAAATACATGATCTTCTCTAATTTTTTAAGTCTTATATCAGTTTTTCTCCTAAGTCTCCAGATTTTTTTAAATGCCATTTTTAATCGGCATTTGTCGAAATGTTTTGTTGAAATGTAGTTTAAATATACTGGTGTCACGTGAATGTTATGTTGAATTATCGGGATAAAAAGTGTATAGGAATCTATGCTCGGAAATGTCGTTGTACGTCACTAGGGGCCCTTCTCTATAATGACCTTTTCATTAGCACACGAATAAACAATTAATAATTAGAAAGCGCCCCTAGCTGCGTATGACGATATTTTGGACATGGATTCCTATACAATTTTAATTATGATGATATGCTCTAATTTTCCAAAAGTTTTGCGACTCCCTGTTGTACATAACGTTTTTAAACTTGCATATTCCAACAAAAAATGGACGAAAATTGTCATTTAAAAAATGCTGAGGTTCAGAGAGAGAAAATCGATTGCAAATTTGAAATCAGTGACGTGAAAATATTTTGGATCCGTTAAAAAATCGCATACAAAAGAAAACCACAAAAATATTTCACGGTTTATTTAATCAATTACTTATGATCAAAAGTTAAATTCTAAGCCTTTTTTTCTCAAAACTACATTAAAATTAAATGTGACATTGAATATCTTATTACCACATCTTACATATTTTCATCCATCAATCAACCATTACTACACTACAACAACTACGTGACAAGCAATCATTATAAACCATTTTTACATATTTTCAGTAACTAGTGGGCTTTGCCTTTTCCTAACTAACTCTTGTCTAACTCCAGAACTGCTTACGCATTTCTTTTCAGATATGTTGCACATTTACGGACATAAGAGAGCGGAGCTGTAGAATATCCTAATTTTTCTGCTCTCAGTTTTCACTAAGCAGAATTATGCAGGGAAAAGAAAAAACTTCTTGACATAGAATTACTCGAACACTAATGTCCACGCCGTTAACCTTTTCATACCCAACCAAATTGTTTCTGAAACATTTCTTTAAAATAAAGAATTTTGTCTAATTTTCTATGAGTTATAAGTATAAGAAAATCACAGAGTGCAAGTGGCGAAAGAAATTGAGGCTGTAAATTATAAAAAATTACGAATGTAATTTTCAGAAATTAATAATAATTTTATTATCATAAATTAATTTTATTTATTCATTATTTTGAAGTATAGATTTGATTCTGATCTTTTGCAAAGTTACGTCTAAACTTAAATTTACAATGATTTTTTTTTCCATTTGATTCAGATTTTTATTTTATATCGAAATTGCAATTAAAAATAAAGAAATTAAAAATAAAAATTAAAAATGAAGATGCATTTTATAAAAATTTTAACTTGAAAAAACGGCACAATATTAAAGAAATAAATGCAATTTTAATCTTGGACGCAAAACGTTGGACTAAATAATTATAAATAAATAAAATCATTGTATAGTTTTCATGTTGGAAGCAATTGTCAAAAAAATGGTGCCGTCATATTTTAAAGTTTTATTTCACTTCTTAAAAAAGATACTGTTAAAAGATTTTGATTAGTATTGTGAAAATTCAAAGAAGCACTTCAGTGAAAGAAGAAGCATTTTTTTTTGTTGTTAAACCAGCAGTCAGAAGGATTTGATAACACAAAAGCAAATAATTGACTAAATTGCTTAATATAATTTACTTAAAAATGAACAAAACAATATTGAAGTCACTATGAAGTGAGTATATATTTTCTAAATTAATCATCATTCTTTTATGCACTGCATTTTTTTATGATTGCATTTTTTTATGATTGTATTTTTTTATTTAGCAATTCATTTGCATTTCCTTTTTTGTTTTTGTTTGATAAAAACGATTTAATTTGATGTATAACAAAAGGTGTGACAAACACGCAGCCACCGGGCAAAAATGATGCCTGCCAATTAGTTAAAAATCAGACGCGAAGACTTTAATAGATTCAGAGGATTTTTTTTTTGTTAAATCATTCTTTCTCATTTTCTGATCACAATAAAATTATAGATTGTTGAGATTTTTATTATCATTATAGATTAATAAAATCGTAATTAGTTTTGTAGTATATAATCTATCGCTATTTAATAGCGTTCGCTATGTAATATTTTTTTAATGAATAGAGCGATTCTTAGCCGAACGTTGATTTTTAATCGAGTGAGTGGACAAAAAGAGAATGAAAAACGGTGGGTTAAAGAAACAGGGATGAGCACATAAAATCAGCGAATCAGAGAATCAGAGCAAATCAAGTGCGAAAGAAAATATGTGGTTTAAGTATTAAAATAGTCTGATATCTGATAGTCGAATATATCTGGAGATTGGTTTTGTCAGAATCTTTATAAATAAGTAGTAATGATTATTATTAAAATTAAAATTTTTATTATTTAAAATTTTAGTACTAAAAATTTTGATATTGCTATTACGTAATACTAAAATAAATTATTCGCTATTTAAAAACTCTATATTTTAAAGGATAGCAAATTCATTTTCTTGGATTTGTTAATATAACGGCTAATAAAATTATGACCTAAAATGAATCTTGAAATATCTTAAATATAGCTTTTTCCTCATTTTTAGGCACTTTATTTTTTAAGCATTATTTATTCTAACTTATTAGTTTCAGAGAAGTTAGGAAAACTCCTGTCGTCATAATATATGCCGAATAAGATGGTTAATTTTTTTAATTATGAATGATGCCATTGCACTTTATTAAAATTCTGAAGCAGTCAGGCAGAAGCAGCAATAAAAAACAATAAACAGGTTTCTTTGAAGTTCATTGAGATTAAGTTAATTACATTTTCTAAGAATTTTGTGAAGAAAGTAAAGAATAAACATTGTTTCTAATCACTCTACTGTTAGTTCGTAATAAAAAAGAAAATTGTTATTCTACGTGATGTAATAAGGGAAAGAGAAGAGATTTATTTTTGCTTCTTAATAGTTTTAGAAAATTAATAAAATTCCTTATAGTGATATGCGTTTGTGGTCAACAGTTTGTGAGTACTATCGCAAATATTTTCTAACAGTTAGCTCTAAAAATATTTAAATTTTTTTACCCATTGTACTTGAAAATGTAACAACTACATGTTACTTATGTGTAAATATAAACATTTTAAACTCTGTTTTAAAATGCAGTGATACGTAATCATCTATTTAATACCGCTTTTAAAATATTGCAACATTAACTTAACATCGTTTGTTCAATACGGATTTTGAAACAATTTTTACTTAACTAATTTTAATAGCATTTGTATGAGAGCATGCTTAAAAATAATTTCGCTACGAACTTAACAAGTTAGACACGGAGTAAAAAAATATTTTGTAAAATTACCGTACGATATAGTAAGAACATTTCTGGATCAAAAAAAAACTTTATTTCAATTAATAAAACCAAAATGTATAGTATATAAAAAAAAATTATTTTGGTACATTTGTCGTTCGTTTTTTTTTGAAATTTCGGTTTCCAAAATTATAGTTCTTATCACCAAACATTTAGTAAAAAATGCAAAACTGAAACGTAATTTTAGCCAAATCAATGGATTTCATGCCATGCTATAAGGTGTCATGACAAAATTACCAAATTTTACCATATTTATTAAATTTGATCTCAAATTATAAAGCAATATTTTATTGTTAATTTTCCCAAAATCATTACCAAAGCGCTTTGGTAAAAATTACCCATAGAGCCAGAAACATGGTAAATTTTACCATATTCCGGCATTTTTGAGCATACTTTTTTTTTTCTCAGGGTATGGACTTAGTTTTTAGGAAAAATTTAGAATCTCATTTCACAAAGGAAACAGGATCCTATTTTCAAAATTTAACAAATAATCAGGACCTTAAGCAAAGGTAAAAATAACACTTATAGTTATATTTTATATATTGTTTTCTCTGTATGTACAAATGTTCTTCGTCTGTACTTCTAAAATAAATGCTCTTCTTTATTAAAGTAACAGCACTTAACACCTCATTTCTCTATTCGAAGAAGAAATACTTTAAATTTCGTTAGACGATTATAATAATTCAATTGCTTGTTTCTGGAGTTAAAAAATTTCAAGAATGAAGAAAACGTTTTCAAATCATTTGTAAAATTGAATTCATTCGCAAATGAAACTCTTTACTTCTGCAATGTTTATATTGAAAATCGGTATTAAATTCCTTTTTTCCAAAAAAAAATCTACGAAATTTAAAATTCTTTTTGCTTTTAAAAGGAAACGCTGAATGATAGGCAATCGTTTTAATTAATAATAAGCACCTAAGAGAATTTTTTTTAAAAAAATTCTTATATTTGATATTTTTACAGTTATTTTTAACTGTTACTTTTTGAGGAAGCAACGGAAAAGTAACTGTTAAACTATCCCCAATTAACCACGTGCATGCATGCGACAGTCATATTCACCTTTACTTCGGAATAAAAGAAACGATTTTATTCCGTAAGATACCTATTATGACAGCCACGGTTCACGCATGTGCTATCCTTGTCACTAATGCTCCCATTTCCTTTTACAAAATATTTATTTGAAACTGTACCCTGCAATTTTCTATACATTCTTTGACTTCACACTTAAAAAGTTCGTCATTTTCAACGGATGCCAGAAATATTTTTGCAGACGATAATGATTTCTTCATTTCAGCTCTTATGAATGAAAAAAAAAATGTGCGTAGTAAAAAAATTCATCGTTTGGAAAAAAGAGAATGTTTCTTGGGAATGTTGCTCTCCGATATTTAAATACGGATGAATGGTTTTTGACACTTTTTCACACGTTACTTTGAAAGAAAGCTGTCACTATTGTAGGCGGAAGTCATTTAACTATTCATTTTGAATAATGATGTTTAGAATAAACTTACTCATTCATAAATTGCAGTAACAGGAGTGGAAAAAAATAGCTTTTTTCTTGGTTCAAATTATCTTCTACTTTCTTGACTGCCGCTCTG